ACAATATATAACAATTCTATCGCAAAAGATTTTGTCAAAATGCTAATTCAGGGGCCTGAGTAATTATAGTTAGAAGTTGGCAACATTTTTATTTTCACTAATCGGATAAGTTTGACCACCGCTATCCAGTGAGTTGGTAGATAACTAATCACACCTGGATTAGTTACATGAGATACACATCTTTAAATTCATATACCGTAATGACGACCAATATCAGTTATTTTCATTAAAACATATAATATATTACAACATGTATAATCTTTCACTGTATATTTATTACAAAAATTATACTTTACAGTTTAAAGTTTATAAATTGTTTAATTTTACTGGAATTATAAGTTTGCTATTAATCACGATAATTAGTTTGTTTTAAATAAAAAATACTTGTGAATTATAAACATCCATTAAAAATTAACATGAAATGTCATGTATACTAAAATTTTTATTATAATACACCTAGTTTGGTATCTGTGACTCAACGTATGCACAACGGCTTTGAAATGTTGAAATACTTTTGGATGAAACAATGGTCATTTCACTCGGAAAACACCCGGCGCCTAATGAACACTCTGGCTAAACACTCGGCCTACGACAGCCGACACTTCCCGTTTGACGTATCGGTGGTCGACTGGCCATTACTCACTAAAAACTCATGGTATGGGGGCCGACGATATTTGCTCAAAGAGGATGATGATAATATACCCAAAGCTAAACGCCGATTGACCAAGTACGTTCATGTTTTGTGATTGTGATTAGGGTAATTGTTATTTATTTTTTAAAATTGTATTTATTCTTTGTTTTGTTGAACAGAATTATTTACGGCTACAGAATATTCCTGTTTCTATGGTATTCAGCGCTCACTTATGTGATGTACTTGTTGACTAATAAATTGGTGTCTACTGTATTTTATTAATACATAACCGTATTTCCTACCCATACTCTTCCCAACAAATATGATATATCATCTGTTTATTATATTATATAAAAATTCTTGTAAATGTCTTATAATGGTACTTTTGTATTAATGATCAAACCAACAATATTTAGGTATATTTCTTTTATTTTCACTGTCACCGCTTTCATATGGGTAAATTTTAAATTAATAAAATTATGTTTTTAATTTTCAATTGCATCAATTTTATTTAACTTAAATAATACTTATCATTTTTATATATGTGTGTTAATAATGTCATTAATTAACCATTATTAATTTACTTAATAATTTAATTTTGGCAAATGTAACAATTACTGCAATAAAAGATTTATCAATAAATATCCTAAATTCCTTATTACATAAAACATAACAATTATTTCAAGTTTAATTAAATTCACTTTTACAATAAAATCGGATGTTTATGTCATAGAAATGATATATATTATAACATATTTTGATAATTACTATAAAACAATAGAAATTAATTCAAAACATGGTCTAATAAAAAATATAAAAAAAAGTTACAAATTATTACAAAAATTATTGCAGCTTAACTCAAAAAGAAATGAATTATAGACAAATAAATCACTAATCAATTAAACAAACTTAATGTATAACTCGTGAAATAAAAGGCAATGTTTTATAAACATTTCTCACGGGTTTTAAACCGTTATCAATAATAGTGTGCTTTAAATATAAGTGTCGCCTATTAATAGAGAAATGATGAATTAATTGGGTATTTGCTATAAACATGTATTGTTATGAAACTATCATTTGTGTATAGGTATGTGATAAACATATAGCACACCTCAGCCTCTCTCCATAACAAGTAAAATGATAAAATTTCTTATACCAGGCAAGTGTGCCCATACATGCGATCGACATGGTATTGAAATAATGTTATGTCATGTCATTTGTCAATACATGCCATAGCGAACGGATTAGGAAAATACCTTTTTATTTATTATATCTCATAAGAGATAAGAGATAAGACATAAGAGATAATAAGTCATATTAATTACTTGATTTCATTTTATTATAAGTGGCGATCATATGATGTGGACATTATATAAAGTTGTACAAGTTTTGTTGTAAAATGTAAGAATAAAGTATTTTTACCAATATATTATTTTTATATTTTTAAAAATTATATACCTTTTTGTGTACTAAATGTTATACAAAATTAATAAACTTATTAAAACTTACATTAATTTTATTTACATATTTTGACATATTTAAAATAAAAATTATCACAAATCTTTCTTTCTACCAATAAGTTAACATAGCATTTTTATAATAAATTAAGCACAAATAAATTACATTTATTATTACAGTCTATAACTTTGCCTCATAATTTGATGTAAACAACTTTATAATACTGGTTACAATATTTCCAAAATATATCCTTACTGCGGATTCACACCAATTGTATATATTGGCCATTCGTCCTGTAATTATGCTTACAAATTATGTTTAAATTACAGTTTATAATTTTCTAATAAAACAACATAATGAGCTTAATATAGATAT